CGGGAAGCGCCGTCGGTCCTTCCCCGCCCCGGCCGCCGGTGCTGTGTTTTCCGGGGTGAAGCGTCCCTGCCCGGGGCGGCCCGCAGCCCCGGCCCTCCTGCTCGGGAAGCCCGGAGGATGAACAGCGAGGCGAGCGTCGAGCTTGAGGCCGCCCTCAGGTCACCGCCGCCAGGCCGGGCCTTTCTCCTGGGCCGCAGGCTCAGGCGGCGCAGCTGCTGCGAGGCAACGGCGTAGCCTGCAATGAACGTTCCCTGGGCTGGGAAGAGGGTCCCGCTTAGCCCCCCTCTTCCACGGGGATGCAGAAGGCACGGCCATGGAAAAGAAACCGCACTTCGCTAGGAGGGAGTTTCCTCCCAGGGAGGCGTCGTCCCTCTCGTTGGCGTTACTGCTCGCCACCGTCCTGCTCCTTAACGCCCTTCTCTACCTGTACCTCAACAAGTTTTACGTCTCTTCAGGACGCGCCGAAACGGACCCCAGCCTCTGCTCTTTCGGGTACTTCAGGTTGGGAGCGGCAAAGAATTGCTCCCCATGGCTCTCCTGCGAAGCCATAAATAGGGAAGTCAGGAAACTCAAGTGTGTTGGTGAAGGCGCTGTGAAAAAGGTGAGTTTGGTTTTCTCTTCTTCTCTCCTGTGGATAAAGAGCTTTCACTGTTTGCTGGCTAATTAATGCCCATACTGCTGTTACAATTATCCTCGCAGCAGCTAATTACTGTAGACATCCAGGGGCGTATGGCTACTGATAAGGTGCACAGAACAGGTAGGAGAGTGTGACCGGAGCCCTGGGCCACCTCCCTGACACCGAACGACATCCAGCTACGCAAGAAAAACCACAGAGATCGGTGAAGCGCTTGTGGAGCGTGGTACAATCGTGGCAGAGTAAGACTGGCTGGTTGGGTGCTACGAAATAATTTAATTCACCTGCCTTGCCCATTCCAAAGAAAACTTAGGAAATCACGATGTAATTACGACGTTGGTAAGGGCTTGCTGTGACAGGTACATGGCCCTGCCCAAAGGCTTGACTGTGCCTGGTGACTGTAATTTGCGGTTGTGACCAAGCAGTCACTTGGAGGTCAGCGGCAGCTGGTAGCCGACTGTGGAAGAAGGCTCTCCATGTGTCTTACGTGTCTCTTGTCTGTTCTCAGGTCTTCCTTTCCGAGTGGAAGGAAAACAAAGTGGTCCTTTCACAGCTCACCAATTCAGAGCTGAAGGAGGACTTTCTCCACGGACTGAAGATGCTGAAAGCACTTCAAAGCAAGCATGTTGTCCGGCTGCTTGGCTACTGTGAACACCAGTTCACAATCCTCACCGAGTACCATCCTCTAGGCTCCCTGAGGGGCCTGAATGAAACTCTCCACATCCCCAAGTACAAGGGCATGAACACCTGGCATCGCAGGCTGATGCTTGCTATGGACTACGTGGGCGTCATTCAGTACCTGCACAGCAGCCCTCTGGGCACCTTAGTGATGTGCGACTCGAATGACCTGGACAAGGTCCTCTCTCAGTATCTCCTCACAAGTGACTTTCACATCCTGGTGAACGATTTGGACGCTTTGCCTCTTGTGAACAGGAGTGCCGGCAAGCTGGTGAAGTGCGGTCATCGGGAGCTCCGGGGTGAGTTTGTAGCTCCCGAGCAGCGTTGGCCCTATGGAGAAGAAGTGCCCTTCGAGGATGACCTCATGCCCCCCTATGACGAGAAAACAGACATCTGGAAAATCCCAGATGTCTCCAATTTTTTCTTGGGCCACGTTGAAGGAAGTGACATTGTGCGACTGCATTTGTTTGACATCCATGCAGCATGTAAGAAGGAGGACCCGGCTGAAAGGCCTTCTGCCCAAGAGGTCTTAGACACCTACAGGAAAGTTTTAACTCTGCTTATTCGGGAGGCGGCCATGCCTGGTACTAGGGAAATGTTATAGTAAATCACGAAACAAACAACATACTGAAGTTGACGTCCTTCCTATTTATTTAGCTTGCCTGAAGGGCAAAATCTCTGTCCGCAAAACTGAGAAGATAAGAACAACCGAACTTGTACTTTTTGATGTAAAAAAAAAAAAATAAATCCGCCCAATGCTGGAGTTGCACAAGCTTCCCATTGGCATGTTTAATCTATCATTAGAAGGGGAGGAGGGAGAGAAATGAAGTTGTGTGGGTGCGGGGGGAAATTTGTTCCTCAAGGAATAATAAATTTTCTTTTGTAACATTTACACAAAAACTCTTTTAAAAAAATTACAGAAAAATAGTTAAAAAAAGAAAATTGGCCCACTTAAACTGGTTGGCCGAGGACTGGAGAGCAGAGACCATGGCATGTCCCCTACAAGCTTTGTGCTGATTCCTGTGGCTTTGGCCCATGTCTTACCTACAAAGTCCTCACCCACTTTCCCATGGAGTAAAAGCAGTGGGTGAAGCCCGACGCCAGAGCCCCAGCAGCAGTCTCTCCCTGATGGATGGGGAATAGGTTGGTTTTGGAGCTGTACGACCATTGCTCTGTGGGCCCCGCATCCCACACCAGCAAGAATGTGGCCAGTTAGTAAGCACGCAGATGATGCAGATCCCAAAGAGACTGCTTACAGACACGTGCTCTTGGTTTTTAAGCCTTTGCCCCGTAGTGTTCTCAGATGGGCTCAGGTGAAGCTGTAAAACAGGAGTCTCTTGCTCTTTTTTTAATCCACAGATACGCTGAGCACTTTGGAAGAGAGCTGAAGCACATATTTTTTTTTCATTCACTTATCTTTGGAAAGCTTTTGGTACCTACATGGATGCGGCAGCCTTGTACCAACAGCTGGAGAGGAAGAACAATGATGCCTTAATCCAGCAGTAGGGTCTGTTTGGTGGGACTGGAATGTACTTGTTCTCTCAGTGACAAAACAGGAATAGTATGAGTGAGACACATGGACTCTACCATTACGCACCTGAGGACTTTCCGTTCTGCAGACTAGGTCTTCGAAAGACTTAAGGGCCCGAGACAACTTTCATGTTTTGACTTGAGAGGTGATTTGTGAGCAGAGAAGTACATGGTCCTTTCTGCTGAAGGGTTTGGTTCTGTTCTTTGCTGTGCTGATCTTCCTCTTCACCTAAACAAGCCGTGTTATGACTGCACTGGGAACATGCAGTCGATTTGTATACATAATGTTCAAACGCATGTGTGTTCAACTGCTACCAAAATTTTATTATAAATGGGAACACTTTCCTGCGGATTACTAAATTCATACCTGATTTCATACAATGCCAGCAGGAGCCCTTTAAAGGCTGCTCATCATGGCTTTCCTTTCCCTCTGGGGAGTCTACTTTCTTAAATTAGCTGATTTTTGCCATTTTTCATTTGTGTAGTCCTTCCTGGCAGTTTTCCTGCTCATGTTGTCAGGAAGCAAAGCTCAGAAGTCAGGGTCTCCGAAAGAGAACAATGATTTTGGATGCTTCGTGTTTGTTTTGGACTTTGACTCAAAACACCTTAAAGAAGCCTGGGGAAAAAGAATGCTCTCTCTGTTGTAATTGTATCGTCCAGCCCATGAACTCTTGAGTTGTTATTATTAGGGTTAGAGTTCCAGCACGAATCCAGGATGTGCAACAGTTGGAAAAGCATCCTGTTACAGCTCTTCAAAGCCAGGGATCAAGCTTTGAAGGGCCAAGAGTCATTGCATGTGCCCCCAGCAATAACTTGTTACCTCTTGTTAGCCATCATGTATACTTGAAAGAGAAATCAGCATCTGTTGGCCGTGAAGTAAACATACCATGCGTTTTTTATGAGAGAGCAAGGACAGACAAGAATAACCTGCCAGGCTTCTTATGCTGGTCTCTCTTGGTTAGGACAAGCTTCTGCTTGGATTCTTGTTCTGTTGTGTCCCTTTGCACCTTGCAAACAGCCATATTAATTTCACAGAGTGAAAAACAAATGAGGACAAATTCTGGTTCTGAGTAACTATCTTGCCGTGGAGACATCTCTGTTCCTGGATGAAGTAGTTACAAATTTTTCAAGAAAAGGTGTCTCCCTGAATATTCACCCTGAGCACTGGGTCCTCCGCATGTCTCTTCCCCATTCCTTCTCCCTCAGCTTGTGTGTTGTCCAGCGTTGTATTTCAGCAG